TGTCTAATGCAGGTTAAGAGAAATTAATTTTGGAAATTTGCTTAACATCAATTTAGCGAAACTCGCTCATACTCAAACTCTGGAATTTTTGGCAGAAGCCCTGCAGATGGTAGAGGCATGAAACTTTGCACACTTGGACTAGAGAAAGGGCTCCATTAAACAGAATAAAGCTAAATTTTTTGTCTAATGCAGATCAAGAGCAATTAATTTTTGAAATTTGCCTAACATCAGTTCGACGAAAGTCGCTCATACTCAAACTCTGGAATTTTTGGCAGAAGCCCTGAAGGTGGTGGTTGGATGAAACTTTCCACGATTAGGCCTCAGAACTGGCGCCATCTAATGCGTGAAAGATAAATTTTGAATCCGTTGTCGTTTGAAAAAAATAAATTTTTGAAATCTGGGTATCACCAGTTGAACTCGAGCCGTTCGCAGTCAAACTCCGGATTTTGTGGACCAAGCCCTGAAGATGGCGAAGCAAAGAAACTTCCTGCACACCATCACCAATCATTGCCCTATCAAGTGCAGCAAACCGCAGGTTTCCAGCCAACGCAGTTTCGGAGTAACGAATTTTTCAAATGCGGTTAGCACCAGCTGCACCAAAACCGATCGCAGTCGAACTCTTAAATTTTTTGCCGAAGCCCTGATGGTGACCGAGCCACGAAACTTTCAGCACCTGCAGAGGGGCACCCCGGCCATCCAAAGCAGCAGCAGAAGTTGCTGGGGCTGGAGGCGTTTGGGCGCACTGAATTTTCAAATGTTTGGTTAACACCGGCCAGGGCAAAGTGGGGCTCAGGAATTTTTTGCCAAGTCCCTGAGGATGGTCGGCCAACGAAACTTTGGGCGTGTGTAGGGCTTGCCCGTGGCTATCTACTGGAGAAACGCCCTGCAGGCTGGCTGCAAGGGTTGGGGAGAAATGAATTTTTTTGCGGGTGCTGCCCGAAAAGTTGCTGCTGCACCTCGGGCAGCTCTGGCCGGGGGTTTGGACCCCCGGGGGGATTTTTGGGGAAGTGAATGCGCTGCACGTGCAGGAAACGGTGGGAGAAATCCCCCTGCAACAGGATTTGTTGCAGCCCCATCGAATAAACTGTGCGGCCAAAAAAAAACTCTCAGCTCAAATCGCTAACAAATTGCACCTGGCCGGTTTACATGATGTCCGGGCGCACAAATCCCGTTTTTCCATCGGGCGTAAATCCCGATCGCTCCCGGTTTTTCTCCAGCTTTATCACTTCTCGGACTACAACACCTCTGGGTCATAAAGTTCGCGAATCTCCCGAGATAAAATAAATCCCGCTTCTCTATTTACAATCGGTTATCTGGATAAGCAAACTTGCGGGCGCTCCTGCGGGAATATCGGCGACGTTTCGAGCCCGATCGGTCGCCCCGGTCGCCCTTCGCCTAGCTAATCAATGGGCGGCCGGCAGGTAACTGGAAAAAATCGCCCGCTTTATCACTTTTCCAGCCCTTCTGGACCTGCGGCCATTAATCTGCCCGCAACGGCCCGGAATCCCTCGAGGCCCCATAAATAGTCGCCGACTATTTACAGTGTTTCGGGTGGTTGTTTTGCGCCCCCCTAAGTGGACGGAAAAACTCCCCCAGTTCCAACCAGCCAGCTTTTCCAGTTGGGGGCGACTCCAACTGGTCACGCGACTTTCATCAGTTGATTTCTCGCAAACTACTTCGGGGATTAAATTGGGGTTGACTGCCCCCGATGGGGCTGGAGCTGGGGCTGGTTGGGGGAAAGTTTCAGCGCGCCACCATCTTCAGGGACTTGGCAAAAAATTCCAGAGTTTGGGTGCAGAGGACGCTGGCGCCAGCGATGGGGCCGAACTTCACCAGTGTCTATCGCTCAAACTGGGCGGGGTGGGAGGCTGAAAAAAATACCGCTGGATAGGGCGTGGCCAGGCCCAGATTTTACCAAGAATAGGTTTTTTCGATAGGGGGCCTGGTTTGCGGGGAAAAAAATAAAATGTGACATTGCGACCACGACGCTTGTGTGACCCTTTGGGGGCAAATTTTCATTTTTTTCCAGCTGCCCAACTAAAGCCACCTCTGGGGCGTGGCTTGGCACACTATCGACTAACTATCGTTAGATTAGATCGACACTTGAAAAGTATGAATTTTCCCGAAACTGTGGAAATTTCCCCTTGACGTCATCGGTGCCATACCTGAGGATGGTTTTTTTGGCAAAAAGTATTTTTTTTGAGTCTAGTGGATTGCTTTGGACCACTGGAGGCCTCCGATGTCAAAATTTGCCCGATTTTTTACACCGCAAAATTAGGGAAAATTTCGGAAATTTTCCCAAAAATTTTCCTGGATTTTGGAAAATCGGCAATAGCGCCCTTATTATTGATGCCAGCCAAAAAGTGAATACCACCTTTTCTGTGGCGCTTGACACAGTCGATCCACTGGTGTAACTGCGTTAGTGCCAGCTCGTCTATTTTTGGAGATATTTGCGGTTTTTTGAAAATCACATTTTCTGGATTTTCTCGAAACCGGTGCAGGCGGCAACGCAGGCAAAGACACCAGTGGATAGCCGTCTACCCGCCCGACGTTTTCCAAAGAGTGATATTTTTCAACCGGAAGCTCCGTTTCCGAGCAAAAAAATAAAATGTAAAATTTCGAAAAAATTCTAAGGGTTTGACCCCCCGGAATTTTCGGCAAAAATTTTTTTATTTTTTTTTCGAACCATTCCTTGACAGGCATTTAGAGATGGAAAAGTTACAAGACAAATCGCCTTTTGTTGCTTCGAAAAAATTTTCCTCTCCGAGCTACAGGGGGAAGACGAAAAATCATGTACAGGCCCTTATGGGGGGGAAACTTTCAAAACCGAATAACAGCGTCAAATAACATCGGAATTTGTTGAAATTCACCTCAATTAGTGCCGAAGCAAATACGAATCGATTCTAGGCTAAATCGCGCCGGTCAAGTGAAAAGGAAAAAAGTTTCCCATTTAACCCCATGCTAATTTGAACCATTCTTGAGAAAAACATTTTTCGAAAAATCTCGACTAATTTTTATGTCAGTATCTTCTATTGAACGATATTCGGAAATCTGTCAAACAATTTGACACTATTCCGAGGTTTTCACCTTCAAATCGCCAAATCTAAATCTCATTCCCATAAGAGCCCATGGAAGCGAAATTTTCAATTTTTTATAGCTGCCAAACAAAAAGCACCATTCGCACGTGCTTCGGTACATTATCGACCTACTATCGATAGAGTCGATCGACACTCTGAAAGTTTGAATTTTCCCCAAACTGTGGAAGTTTCCCCTTTAACCTGCACCTCCATGACGTCATAGGTGCTCTACCAGAGGATGATTTTTTTCCCAAAAAATTAATAATTTTGTGAGCGTAATCGATTGATTTGGACCACCAGCGGCGTCCTTTGTAAAGATTTGACAGAAATTTGACATGGGGTTTTTTTGGGAGATTTTGAAAATTTTCCCAAAAATTTTCCTTCATTTTGGAAAATCGGCCATTTCTCGCTTATTATTGATCGCAGCAAAAAAGTGAATACCAACTTTTTTATGGAGCTTGACCCGGTCTATCGTACGGTGTGCTCAGGTGTTTCTCAGCTCTTCCAGTTGCGGAGATATTTGTAGTTTTTTAAAAACCACATTTTGTCGATTTTCTCGAAAACTATCCACGATGGAAGACTGGTAAAGATACGAGTGGATCACCATCGACCAGCCGAATAGTTTACAAAGAGTACATTTTTCCGATTTGGGGCTTGGTTTTCGAGTAAAAAAATAAAATGTAAAATTTCCCAAAAATCCAAAGGGTTTGACCCGCTGAAATTTTCGGCGAAAAAATTTTTTATTGTTTTTTTGATCCACTCTTTTACAGGCAATTAGAGATGGAAAAGTTGCACGACAAATCGACTTCGATTGGTCCCCAGAAAAATTCCCCTGTAAGCCACAGGGGGAAGACGAAAAGTTTTGTACAGGCCCTTATGGAGGGGGAGTTTTCAAAACTGAATAAAAGCGTCAAATGACATTGGAATCTGTCAAAATTGACACTAAACACCAGTGACTCAATCACCAATCGACTACAAGTCAAATCGCAGTCGCACAGCAAAAACGATTTTTATCCAAAAATGCAGTTTAAGTGAATGGTGTAGACCAATTTTCAAAAATCCACCACTCCTCAACAGGAACAGCTGCAACTGCGTTTTCTGCCCCATTTGATTCGGCGTCGATTGCGCTATCGGTGCTCAAAGTTTCGTCGCTCGACCATCCCCAGGCCGTGTGCAAAAAATTCCGGAGTTTGACCACGTTCGAGGTGGCTCCAACTGGTGCAGCCCAAACTTCCAGCCCCCCTTTCCCCAAAACTGCCCTCATGCGCGAAAACTCTTTTGACCCCACTGGGCGCCCCGAGCCCCTGGCTGTAGATCCCCAAAGTGGCACATCTGCGCCACCTTCAGGGATTTGGCCAAACTCCCATTTTGTCCCTCCAGCAATCCTCAATGTAAACCCCGCTTGGGCATTTAATTGCGCCCAAACCACTGCAGCCCCAAACCCGCCGCCACCACCCCTGAATAGGGGGGCCTCCCCTCTATACCCCTGCAAAGTTTGAGATTTTTGCAAAAATCCGGGCGGCTTCCAGGGCAATTTCAATGACAGCCACTCAAAACGGTCACCAGCGCCCATTAGGGCGGCGGCGTGTTCCAGAGCCAGTTGCTCGGCAGGGG